TCTGCATGCGAGCAATATTCTATGAGCCACCAGACCGCATCGATCGCCTCAAGCTGAGAGGATGCGTCGTTCCGGAGCTCTTTGCACCGCCGTTGAAGTCTGAGTACATGTACCAATAATCCAGCGAAGCATGGGCACGAATGGTTGTCTCCTCTGTCTAAAGCCTTTTCGAATACCGGATAGCACTGAGTCTCAGCAGCTTCCTGCATCGCAACAAATTAATATCACCGTCCCAATTTGCATATGTTCCACAGCGATCAGCAACGGACCAACTTATCCTGCTTACTCACCAGATGGCTCGTGTCTCGGACAAACACAACAGATATGATTGTGCATTTCTTGACTTCAGGAAAGCCTTCGATAAGGTTCATCATCCAACCCTGATTGAGAGGCTGAGTACTTTTATGACTCGAAACTCAGTGAAATGGTTTGAATGCTATCTCAATCAGAGAACGATAGCTGTCAAGATTAAGGAGACGATCTCTCCCCAATATCTTTTGAATTGTGGTGTCCATCAAGGCTCACATCTTGCACCCCTGCTGTTTTTAACCTACATCAATACCCTTCCCGACACATTGACCCACAGCGCCCCTTATCTATTTGCTGATGATGTTACACTGCTCAACACTCATAACATCGGTTTACCTGTTGGTGAGAATCTGGCCAATTTCCAGTTGGATTTAACAAGCTGCCAGCGCTGGGCTAGAGGCATTCACGGGGAGTTTTCTGCGGCCAAGACCACCATGTTCTCCAACTATGCTCCTCCACCCTCTTCGTCTGTCCAAATGGACAACGTACCACTCAATGTTAAAAGTACCGTAATCCATCTAGGCGTTGAGATCAGCACTAATCTTAAATTCCAAGACCATTTCACTACTGTGTTCAAAAAGTTTCGCCAACGTGTAAATTTGTTATGCTTTATGGGCCGTCATCTATCGCATGCACATATTGCCCTACTCTACAAGTCATATGTACGACCCACAGTAGAGTACGCTATCCCTGTCTGGTGCTTCAGACTTACTGCTAGCCAGCTAGAATCGCTTGACATTTTACAAGCAAAGATCTGCAGATGCCTGCTGCGGTCTGCAAAGATTGATTTTGATCGCTATGAATCGAAGAATAATTTAAATAGGCTGTGTAATTTGGAATCCCTTCACTTCCGACGCACTTACATTTCCATCACCGTTTTGTTCAAGTATATCCATTGGCACCCAGATTATCTATCCCGCTTTGACATCAATATCTCTTCTAGCGCACGCCGACCAAACAAACTGATTTTCAATTCTCATGGCCGCATCTCTTCCTCTCTCTTTCTGCATAAGATCGGAAAGCTGTGGAACTGCCTTCCACCAAGGCTGACATCCCAAGATTCACTTTCTAAATTTCAGCAGCAATATCGCTTGCACGTGAAAAGTTTTAAATTTGACTGTAGTGGTATATCCCTGGACATTTAAATTAATTGTTTTATTTTGAACAACCCAGCCCTGTGTTTATTGCTAATTTATGTAGCATATACTGTAACACGTGTAGTTTTCCTCACTGTTTATTTCTATTGCATGATTTGCATCAGGAGATCCCCTCGACAGGCCATCGCCTCTGGGAGATCCTTTAATAAAGATTATATTATAAAGTGAATACATGTATTTACTCATGCTGATAACCCAGATCTTGTGCTTCGATGTACGATTTTTCTTTCGAATATTCACCATGCACGAGCTACCGTAGTTCCGCGCATATAAGCCCATGGGCTAATACGAAATAATGCATTTTCCGGGAAAATAAATCAGTAATAATGGTTCGTTTTTTAGCCCTGGGCCTATATTCGAATTTTGAAGGCAGCTGGCACGCGAAAAGTACAAGTCCGTGCGCGGTTGTCCGCCTACCATAGGTACCGGTACTGGTAATGTGGTCTGCACTGACATGCTGTACTACGGTGTTTGGGTCTGTTTATTAGCCCATGGGCCTATAAACGGAGGTGGGCTTATATCCGGATATAGGCCCATGGGCTTATAATATGCGCGGAACTACGGTATTGTGCTATGTACTTATAAAATACATACTGAGTCCGAGGTGTTTACGAGAAATAAAAAACCGACACAAAACCCGAGGCGAAGCCGAGGGTTTTGTGGAGGTTTTTTATTATTCGAGTAAACACGAGGACGAAGGATGTATTTTATTTAAAATAATTATACTTATAAAAACCGATTTTCGTTTTGGATTTTCGTACCTATTTCGGCGCATGCTCGAACTTACTCCTCGTGTTTCAAATTTCTCCTCGTGTTGTTTATTTTGGTTTACGAGTGTAATGGCTTCTTCAACGTCTCCTGGACGTTTTGCGTCCGTTTCTGAAGAAGAAAGGAAGAAACTTTTGGAATCAGCAGTTCCTAAGTCAACCAAAGTTGCAACGAAGTTTTGGTTGAAAGTGTTCAGCGATTTTTTGATGCAGAAGAGCTTGTCTTGTGATTTTGCTACTGTCGAAGACAAGGTACTGGCGGAAATCCTCGAAAGGTGTTACTGCTCCGTGAGAACTCATGACAAGAAGGAATATAAACGGGCCAGTCTAATAGCTGCAAGAGGAGCCTTGCAGAGAGAAGTCAATGACCGTGACCAGGGCTTCGATTTGAAGCGTGGCGTGTTTGTCAAGGCCAACAAGCTCCTCGATGCCGTCCTCAAGGACAAGAGGCCCAAGAAGGAAGACGAGGAGTGAGTAGCTCAATTCTCTCCTTTTGATCATATGTATGTGTCTCTCATCTTACCATTCTTGAGTGGACTATTTAACCTTTCCAGTTCAATTTGTGCCCTTCTGATCTTGCTCTGCATCTGTTTGTACTGTTTTCGTGAATACTCTTATCTCTTGTTCTCATCTACCCCTAAAAAGAGGTTTTTATACAGGGTTTTTTTATAGCCGGCAGGTTTTTTATACAGTTTTTTTTATAGCCGGCAGGTTTTTTATACAGGTTTTTTTATAGCCACCAGGTTTTTTATACAGGTGTGTATGAAGTATAGAAACTCCTAACCCTACACGACAATCAATGGAGGTTTTTATAAGTATAATTTAAAGTGCTATACACCTCTGATGAGCCTTTTTTATTATTTTGCAATTTTTTATTTTTTTCCACCTCTCGCATATGATTCTGGAAGTTGAACTGACGCGAAACATAGATATAAAAAATGATGGCCTGCACACAGGTTTTGGTGGAAAAATCGGGGCATTTATACTGAAGATGTCTTGCTCCTTCACGCAATGATCACGAGAATACGCTAAGCAGGGTAAAAATGGACTCTGCCCCACTTCAGCGTATTTTCAAGATTAAAAATACACTGTGATTGTCATCCATCTTTTGACCACTGGTGGTGTCGACCGTTCAAGTAGGCACTGCATCTGCCACTGGATATAGACCGTCGTGAGTGCCCTTGGAAACGGACACGAAAATAATACTTTTACTTAATAATAAATTTGAAACTCGGATGTTGAGCCAATAATGAATGTAGAAAGGAAAAGGAAATATAGATACGAGTTGAGAGTAACTCTCCATCACTGTAACCAGATACTATAATTATATAGTCAGAAAGTGCAACAACTAGGCACAACACTGACAGAGTACTGAGACATTCGACGTCCTGACACCTAGCTTCAACACATCTCCGTAGCGCTAACCGACAGCCTTCCAACTTGGAAGGTTCAAGGTTATGGAAAGACCAAAGAGGGGAAGGCAAGCGCAACGAAAATGTTTTGTAGTCAACTAGTCCATCACAATGTCATGCATGAGGAGTACTGTCGGAGTTTGGCTTTCGGCTTGTACAATTCGTTTTCGCAAAGCTTCCCCTTCTGTACTTATCTTTGATATTTATGACCCACCCAAGTTAGGTGGTGTGCTGCTTTGCTGCTTCGAATTGTAGTTAGACCGCTTTGTCAAATATCCTACTGGTCTCGTCATAGTCCAGTAACAATCGACATTCTTTGTTCCGTTGGGACTGTAGCTTGTGCTCACTTTCGTTGCGCTTGCCTCCCCTATTTGGTCTTTCCATAACCTTGAACCTTCCAAGTTGGAAGGCTGTCGGTTAGCGTTATGGAGATGTGTTGAAGCTAGGTGTCAGGACGTCGAATGTCTCAGTACTCTGTCAGTTTTGTGCCTAGTTTTTGCACTTTCTGACTGTATATAGTATCTGGTTACAGTGATGGAGAGTTACTCTCAACTCGTATCTATATTTTCTTTTCCTTTCTACATTTAATAATAAATAATAATAATAATAATTTGAAACTCGGGTATTGAGCCAATAATAAAAGTAGAAAGGAAAAGGACATAATTATGGAAACGAGTTAAAAGCTAGTTGTTGCACTTTCTGACTGTATATAGTATCTAGTTACAGTGGTGGAGAGTTACTCTTAACTCGTTTCCATAATTATGTCCTTTTCCTTTCTAATAATAATAATAATAATAATACATCCACCGTCCAGGAGCGACACTGACTCACGCTGCTATCTGGTGTTCACGAGGTGTTTGTCGCGCTGGAAATAGAGCGTCTCTGTAAGTTTGTATCCCTGGTGATGTTTGTGCCTGGAGAGCACTATATAAGTGGTGCTCTTCAGGCACAATCTTCCTCAGCCTACTCAAGCTCAACTGATGAGGGGTGAATTCCCCGAAACACTGTGTATTGAGCAGGGAGTGGTGCTTTCTTGCAGGTTTGCCGAGTCGAAGGTTCGATGGACTTCTCGTGTGCTCTGGATGGCAGTCGTGAGTCAGTCAAGTGTCAAGTAAAGTCGGCGGAATAGCGCGAGCTCCGGTGTGGGGAGCAAACCCTTTCTTACAAATCATCGCCGAAGTCGCAACCACTACTTCGTTAATAATACATCGCGTGTAATAAAATAATATTATATCAATGAAAATTGTATGCCTGTTCCGCTTCTGTCTCACATTGAGTACCACGGTAAATAGGGTATGTGTTACTGAAATAGTTCTTTCCATTTGATCTTACTTAGCAAGTTTGGAAAACGGAAATTGTGGACCCCGTTGCATTCTCAACAGAGGGAAGTGAATGAGCGTTTTGCACAATGCCACCACTAGTGATGAGCCATTGACCGTCTGGGCAATTGCTTGCTCTCTGTGAGACTGATGAAGGATTTGTTGATGTGCAGAATAATAGATTCTCGACCTCAACAAATGCATCTACTTCAGCAGAATGAAGCCGAAGTATTTCCAGGTTTAAGCGAAATTCCACAAGTATTTCCGGGTTTAAGCGAAATTCCATAAGTATTTCCAGGTTTAAGCTGGGGACAGGATTAGATTCCGAGATCTCCTGAGGACTAAGAAGTGCATGGCATCGTATAAAATTATGCGAAGAATTCAGACCTCGACCTTTTTCACTGGCCGGGTGTTCATATAATAATGAATTATTGTAATAAACTGGCGCCTTCTGAAATAAAGATAATGGTTTGGCGATAAATGGTTTGGTGTCAAGTGATGTGATGAGAATATACTCAGCGATAAATTTCTGTGCGTGTGGCCATGCGTAGTGAGCTGATTGGAGGTGGGTTGGGTTATTGAGTGGAGCTGGAAATACGCCAGGCAGATGTAAAGCTGAAGTTTGAATGAGATCAGTCGGATGGCTCGTGGTGACTTTCTGGAATAAATTCGAAGGTGGGGTGGGGTGAAGGGGGAGGGGAGGTAGGACAAGGGAGGGGGAAATGGTAGTGGGGAAATATTTAAGTCATTGATTGTTTCAATAAATAGATAATCTGGGGGAGGGATGCAGCTCTAATGTTTCCGGCCGTGGCCTGATAAATATTTGGTTGAATATATTACATGGTTATGTGAGGTATAAATAATTGCTAAAGTACTTGTATGCCTTTCACGCCACAAGTTCTCTTTTCGCCGCAGCTCTTGGCCAGCTAGAGGTCTTAGTGACTAAGCAGCGGTGAGCTGGTTTTTGACACTACGCCAGCCACACAGGTACTGGCGTACTTTGATTTTGCTCTGCGCCTCATTCACGATCGTATAGATGTTCTCTACTCTCCTGAGCACATACTGGACGAACGCAGCCATATCCTGATGCGCGCTGCGAGAGTGCGTGCACGAGAAATCCGGGTAGTCTTTGGACAGTTCATCCTGAAGGAGAAGACGACAGAATAGCAGAGACATTCAGATTAGTGAGCCTTCCCCAAAGGTCTGCTACATCCCGATGATCAATCTGTACTGCGCGCCTGTCCAGACGTACAGCGCAATGTTGATCACAGCGTTCATTCTATCTACGCTATTGCACATTACTTACCAGTGACACTACACCTCTAAGACCTACATGTAGTATCGAACACAAGTGAACCTGGGAGAGGTAAAATATAATTTTTAACAGCTCCTGAAGTAACATAGTTGCCACAAGACTGAAGAGTTGCGAACGAAAGTTGTACTTATCGCTTACCCAAGTGAGTGGAGGTGAAATGGTGGCGACATCAGACTCATTCGACAGGAAGTTTGAGAGTGGATCGTGGTCTGCACTGCTGTCGTCCACTTCATTGTGTGTGGACGGCTGCTCGATCAGGCGTGCACATGTGTGCCAGTTTCGGTATTTGTATTCCTCCACCTTCTTTTCCTGCGAAAGACAGTAGTGCATGTACAAGTAGTTTGAAGACAGCACGGTCAATGCACAGTGCATACATGTACAGTGCGTATATGTACATGCAATGAAGTATATGTATGTTTATCGCCTTCTTAGTATTTGACCCCACTAATTTCCCTGATACCTAAGCGGTCAAATATATCGCGTATTTGACTGCTTAGTCAAATACACAATATATTTGACTACTTATATTTGACTCCTTAGAATTTCTTGGACTTAGAAATTTTCTCTCCAACTTAGAAAAAGAAATTTTTGAAGAAAGCAGAAATACACAAGATGGGATTTGAACCCACAACCATGTGGATCACAGTCACTCTTCCTCACCACCCAGCCACTGTGCTACCGATGCTGAACCTAGTTTAAACAATGACCTTGATCCTGTAATGCCGTACAATGCGGTATAGGCTATAGTATAATACTAAAATTACAAGGATATGTCGTATATGAAGAGAAACTATTGCGTGGAGAACACGATAAATAGATTATAGACCTCATAGTTGGTCTATACAGGATATATAGACCTCGTAAAAGACCTCGGGGGACCTCGGTCTTTTACTCGGTCTATATATCCTGTATAGACCTCCTAACCGGTCTATAATCTATACGTACTGAAGTATATGTACTGAAGTATATGGCTCTAATTCATGCAAAGGGGTACGTCTCCAGAGGGCGATACGCACCAATACTGAGCAGAAAAGACCCAGTGCAATGCTAAATCAAGTTTTTCACTGCTCCAGCGAATGGAACAGGGGAAAGTCTAAAGAACACAATACACTGTCACCATCAGGACTCGAACCAGGACCTTCGCTTGAGGCCAGCAATGCTTTAACCACTGAACTATGTTGTAGCTATCATCCAAGCAGAGACTAAGTAACAAGCAACATCTTTACGGTTAGTACTTTTGATAATCGTCTTTCGTGTACTCACCAGGCCTGGTAGCAGTTTCACACAGAGCGAGCGCCTTATCCTGATTATTGCCCGTCTTGTAACTTGACGTTGTGTACTAGTAGTACTTTGGGTGGACGAGGGATCGTTGTCCAGACACTTCTGCCGTTCTTGGGCCTCCATAAGCATGCTATGTGTTCCATTGCATAGATCCAGCAGGGAGTCCCTTACAGCAGTCAGGTATTTCCCCGTCTGTAAGCCGACACAGGAAATAACGAAAAAACGTAGACATTGTGCAAGGGCCTTCTACTTTGGAGGATGTTGGGTAAGCAGTACACTTCAAATTCAGTCAGAGTGCACAGCTACAGTCTGCCACTCCTGAACAGCTCGTGGCTATAGTAACCAGTGTTGACAAGGTCCGTGTGTTTTGGGACTCCACCGTACACAGGCTGCCGCGTTCTACCACACAACACCACTACTAATGGATTCTCAAGACTTCACCGGCAGGCAACCTGACAACACAAATCCAATTCGGCCAGGTAAACCCTGATATTCCGTGTTAACTCTGATACATTCTGGACCGTGTTTGAGCAGGAACACAGAGCATAATGAGTGGAAAACTGAGAGACCCACCTGATAGAAATTCTCAGTATCTGAGAGATCCTTGCATGGCCAGCTGGGCAGATGCGTGTTCTCCAGATCGTACAGGCGTGAGTTTCGGCTTCCAACTAATACTTCACCCGCGAAGTGTTGACGGCTCTGTGATCACGTGCAGGCAGAGAGACGAAATGCAGGGAGTAATTAGCACAATCTTGGAGGTGCCTAACCCAGTACAGTATCAGCACACTTCAAAGAGTCATGGAGTGGTATGCTGGTGGGCGCAAGCAAACAAGCAACTTCGGGCCTGGTTTAAATCTGGCTTTGGAAAATTCATTTTTCATTGCTATCAGGCTCGGCCTCATTTCCTCTGTGCCGTGCTGATGAGTCCATAAAAGGACGAAACAGTCTGGCCGCAGATTAAGCAACTAATACTAGAACGAGCAACATCTGCAGCGATTCTGGTCTGCTGTTTAGAATTGTGGTCATTCATTCATGGAATTTGAAGTTCTCTCAATCCTTTCACAACTTTATAGCTAACCCGCCATTATCACCAAGAAATAATAATAAGTTTCATGTCAATCTACTCATACACACACCCTCTCTCTCTCTCTCTCTCTCTCTCTCTCTCTCTCTCTCTCTCTCTCTCTCTCTCTCTCTCGCTCTCTGTCAAGAGCTACATGTGCATGTGTATCTTTGGCTACATGTAGATGTACATGTATACCCAAATATATACTGGTAGGTATGTCGAATGAACTTTTCAAAATTGCCTATTCCTAGACTAGTATCCTCGACCAGAGGCGACCACCTGTCCGAAGAAATGCTGCGGACATCTTCTAATAGAATGGACGTCCCTGGGGCTGGGTAGTAAGTGTACATGTCTCTGCAGCGGGTGGTCTGATGCAGCAGTTTTAATTAAACCCTTTCACTGCTCTTCTTTTTCTTGTGATCTCTCGCTCTCTCTCTTCTGCTGGATGTGGCCAGTGCATGTACATGTACGCGTGAGTGGATACCCAAATAGCTAGCAAATACCCGTGGCGTCATGATAGACGTCACCGCGAGTATATTCTCCTTGCACTGATCGAATGTCAGTCTCTTAGACGACCTGTCAACGTAACCTACTGCACAGTACACCCAGTATGACAGCAAGGCCGGCGTCTGGACAGCCTCCATGTGTACTGCCCGCCCAGAAACAGCAGTTGACACCATGTGCCATTCATTTGCGTATAGTGTTCTGAAAAGCGGCCTGAGCTAATGACGGTATTGAGAATGGCAAAGTCAATCCACCCTAACCACAGTCGGGGCACAGTCAGGGCACAGTCGGGGCTTAGACACGTGTACATCATGATCTTATACTCATTGCGTCGCTCTCTTCGCTTGTATTTCAAACTCGCGCCCAACTCCCATTGCGGCTGAGTCCGCTATGATATCCAAGGCTGAGTGCGCTATGATTGAAATGCAGGGCTGAGGGAGAGTGGTTCACCTTTCCACATTGGCGGCTTCCCTGTACAGCCACATTACACATGTGCCTGACGGCGAAGGATAGCTTCTCGTGCCGAATACGGTGTGCAGTTCTGCAAACCATTCGAATGTTTGCAAGCTGTGTCTACTAGTACTAGTCGTGGTCAAAGAAATCCGACCCACGAGTCAAAAGTAGCGGCGCGTTTCCACTTCAAACTACATCATGCATGTTCCCAAAGCTGATCTGAGGGACGCAAGGGCCGCATAAGCCTTGGCGCTGCTCTGGGCCCGCGGCCGGTGGGTTGGATTTCTTTGGCTTCGACTGTAGTAACTAATCTTGATACGCGTACCGCTTTTGTGAATCTTGGTCACATGCCGCCAACACAACTGGACAACTAGATTTTCGCTTTTCACGTGTACAGAAGGAAAAAAAGGTGCGTTGTTTTCTGGCACACGAACATGTAACATGTTGGTGTTGCAAATTAGTTCACTACTGTTCGCCGACTTGTTACCGCGTTCCGGGCACAGGTCAGTGACGCACATAGCCGCCATCTACATGCACCTGGTCTGATCTGGTTTATATACAGTCATGTGGAAAGTCTAACACACTGATTGATGTCTGAAGACAATGTTGAGCGGTCGCCATAACTAAACAGTGGTAGAGCATTGCTGGCCATAAGCGAGGATCCCTGGCTCGAATCGGGAGGTGGTGACGGTCAATTCTCTTTCCGACATTGCCCGTTTTCAACTCCGTATTTGTGGACATGTGCGTGTATATGATTGTAGCTATCTGCCCGTCGTGACAATTCATGCAATGGAGACATCCTCGTTTTACTCGTAGTACATATGCAAAACAATAAGACAAATTCCACACGTCTGAGTAACTGGCTGTTCGAACCAGGGAGTGAATAAAGAAGTTTCTCTGCCTGCTTCCTAGGTTACTACTTTGAACTACACTGCACAGGTAACCAGGTAACCAGGTCACTTCGCTTACATACAGTCATGTACATGAAGTTATTAAAGCATGATCTGATGAAGGGGCAGTTGAGTTCACTATGTACATCTATAGTACATGTACATCGACTGCAGGTGCAGGTACTTACATGATGGGATGCTATTTGGTGTATGGAGGGCGTCTTCAGCACGATTCTTTCGTAGGTCATATTCTGCGTTTCGCATACGCTCGTCAGGACGACTCCGCGATCGACTTCCACAAACGCTGCCCACGCGCACCCATGGCTGTCCGCGTGGTCTTCATCCGACCTGGCCTTCCTATTCGTGGTGTCGTCGTACGCCATACTCATCGTAGCTAGGTCAGGCGTCGTCTCCTGCGCATCCGCGTCCGACACGGGCACGACCATCTGCTGCGCTCCGCGGTGACCGGAAGGCTGGATTGACTTGGCGCTGACCAAAGTAGTAGTAGTAGTAGATAGCATCATGAGCAATAGCAAGGTTAGGGAACTAGGCAGACAACGCGAGGCATGTCCGCTGCTCACTGCGAACAGGCGAATAGAAAACAGAGCACCACCACATCGATTAGCCATGCTACTGGCTGCTTGCGCGAATACCAAGCACTTTACTGAGCAGAAAGCTCGAGTCAAGAGTGAAGGCAATGTTAGATAAAGCAGCAGTCATAGAGCGAAGGGATCAAGGTGTGACAATGATGTGACTGACTTGCAGTGACTATTGAAACGCACTTTATATAGCATTAGCAGTTGACACGCTCTATAATTCGCGCTGTTTGTCGGTTAACCTGCTCAAGCTGTTTATGATGTCGGCGTTGCAATTCCAGTTCGCTCTTCACTACAGAGCCACTGCAAGGGATATACATGCAAGTCCGGGACCCATTGTCAACTTCGGTAGGTAGTACATGTAGTTCGTGTACATGACTGTATGATGTACACATTGCGGACGTGCGCACACAAGGCACGTGTACCGGACCACAAAGCAGCTAACGTACATGTAGGCACAGGCATTAGATAAATTTATTTCATGCTGTCAAACCAACAACAATATGTATGTAGGCACAGGCAAAAGGTACGTACGTGTACATGGCAGTCGTACGCACTGATCACTGAGCTTTGCACCAGCAATATTATTAACATTATTCATGAGGACTAAAGTAGGCATGCCCAGTAGTTTGCAGCAAAGATCTAAGAATCCTTCGAATTTCACTGTGTCCACTGCCATGCCCATTACAGGTCACACTGCCCTGGCTGATTTTCAGACACTATAGTGTACAAGTGAGATGGGGGGCACCATGGCGGCTAGTAGCACTGCATAAACATAAGACCGCCGGCATTTTCTGCGGAAAGTAGGGCCGCTTAGAAAATTGTCGTTTGTGTCGGCGATTCGCAATAAGCGGGATATTTCAAGACTCCACCGCATTCTTGCGAACAAGGTATCTCTTAGCGCGGAGTGGGAAGATTTCTAGCCATGTTTTGTGACATGGAAGCAAAATAAGAGCAACAATAATTCTCGTTTATAACCACTGAAACAATCAGTTATGCTACTACCTACGTCGCAGTGATTCTGCTGGGGCTCCTCCGTAGACAGCAACCTCCTGCCTGCGACGCTTTGATGGATTCATTTCGGCTTGCAGACAGCCTTTCTGGTATTGCGTCCTCCCTTAGGGGCACCCTCACGCTGCCTCTGTCACTGTCACTGCTGCCGTCCTTAGCAGTGTGACTGCTGCAGTCACGTAGGAGTGGCTTGCGCAGAGCTGCGAAGGGGGCTTATTAGTCTGGTTTGTCTGTATGTTCTCTCAGCTGCTAGCGAACAGTAATACCCCCAGGTGCGCACACACAGCTAAAGGTAGCACTAAAGATTAGGAGACTTGCACGCCTGTCAAGGTAGCCGATCGCGGATCAACTCTACTCTACACGAGGAACAAATCCTGGAACAAGTCCAACGTCAGTGTCTGTCTGGGCAATGATCTTGGCGTGACAAGCGATGGCACCTTTTTATACTTTACAAGAGGTCTGGAAATAGCACTCTAGTCTGTGGCTGAACATGTCACCCGCCAATATTATTCTTTCCCAGAGGAAGAGGAAAACGAATGTGTAGATATTTGTAGAGAGTTGATTGCCTGACTGCAGTCTAGTGGGCGGGGGATCCCTGAACTATTTAAGAACTCCTGGTGGTGAAGTATTGCTGAGAAGAGCCTCTAATACAGGCTGGAGATGAAAAGGTCTCCTTCAAGTCTGATCATTCCTACCAGTGCAATTCTGAAGCATAGAATTCCACTAGTATTTGTCTTGGCTGATAAGCGACGGCCCAAACAGATTTCTGTAGCGATCTGGCATGTTTGGCAAACTTGCGGACAATACATTATTTATTGGCTCAATGCCGTTTTCTGCAACTAACGTTACTGAATAACATGCAGCTCACTGTTCGTTCCTCTTCCGAGGGCAAAAGGGACGGCGATTTAATGTACGAATGGGTGGGTACGCTAGGCGCTCGTGCTATGACATCACCAAGAGCACCTTACATAATGCAATTTTGCCGACAGGATTGTATATAGACCTGACTGTAGCCATTGTACATGCATGTGTGTTCACGGACTGCCTTATGCCTAGGTAGATCCTGGGCCTTCTCATTCAGTCAATTCATGAGGCACGCAACACCCAGGTTGGACAACGGGATGAGCCCGCCACAGATGCAATTCAACTGGAGAGGCACCTGACAATGGCAGCCCGTTGACCATACGACCTCGGATATAGGAAGTTTGCGCTCCATGCATTCATACACGCGCTGAACGAAAAAGCAGTCCCCATTCAAACGTCTCCTGACGTGATGCATGACTGCGCAAGAGTGCATTGCTACTGTCTATGAGTGCGCTGTTGCTGCTGCCGCTGTTGAGTGTTGTCCAGGATTGGGACAACTACAGTTCGAACACTTCGAGTAACAGCGGTAGCGATCATTGTGGCTCATTTCATTTTAACTAGCACGCGCTGTGTTTGCGCAGTTCCCGCCAAGATCCTGGCGAAGCCAGGCGACAGCGCAAACGGACCACTGGCGGTGAAAGGGCAGCTTCTGTTTTGCTAGTTTGACCTCTTTGCGGCTAAATATCATGCAAGCGTCTTGCGGGGTATATACCCTTTGGCGTGCCTCCCAAAGAGCGGATATAGAACCGGAGAAAGGAAACTGCTGCAAGGGAATGCTTGGGTGGTGCGACTCAGTCCGACCAGTCGTTTCTACGGGGTGCTTTGTGATAAGACATCTCGTTGATACTGTGGTTGGTGTTTTGGCATAATTATTGTTCGCGACTGGCTTTCTAATGCTCCAGGAGCGACTGCGCCAGAGTTACGCAAACCAAACCGGTATTGCTCTATGTGGTGGGTGCAGAAGCCTGGATGCATTCCAGTCAGCCTGGTCGACTGCGGTCCCTTCTGAGACGAAACGACTGGCAAGGCCTGGCGGAAATCCGCTGGCACGTCATGCAGTACTGCTGTCAACGAGCCTGTCAAACCCTGGATTCCTCTGTCCCGTCGTGTACTGCCTGCCTCGTGCTGCACTCCGCCCAGTAAGTACGACACTGCCACTGCTACCGACTGATGTACGCAGAGGAATGAGTGTCCTAGGACCAGGGAAGGGGTTTCATGACCTGGCATGCTGCATCGATCTTTGACAGACAACCGATCCATCATCATTATTATTGATCTCTACCCCAAGAATAGAGGCTCTTACCACCGACCAGGCATTACCGCGATAGAGAGATACATGTGGATAGGTAGAACGATAGAGAGAGAGAGAGAGAGAGAGAGAGAGAGAGAGAGAGAGAGAGAGAGAGAGAGAGAGAGCACGATAGACAGAGAGTGAGTGAGTGAGAGAGGCAGGAAGGCACGTGACTCTAGGCAACGTCGACAGCTTGTCGTGGCACGGACAATCTTGAGCAAAAACCAGAACTGTCCTGCTTTGGCCAGAATGGGTTGACGTCTGTCACTTACAGCAGACTCGAGTCAGGCTAAGGCATACTGATCGGATGATGTTCTGGACCGAGAGAAAGCTCCATGCGGCATTTTTGTAATGTATATTTGTCCCGTATAACATAGTATGGACTTTAGCAGGCCGCAAGCCAAAGGAAGCTGACAGTACAGTTCTGAACATGGACAGGCACGAACGCAGCAACCGCTAGAGCGTACTTGTAATGCTGCACGCAATCATGGGTCCCATCGATTTGCACAGATACTGAGATAACCTGGCAGAATACTGCTATGCTGCATTTACACCGTGCATGCCATATGCGAACGATTTGCCTTCTGAACTTAACTGACCAAAAAGGAGGTATCGCATTAAGCTTTGTTTCTGTGGTGGGATTTTCCCTCGATTTCCCCCAAAAGGCAGTCCGCAGTTCAGTTGTCGGACCACGTCAGCCCTAGAACTATGTACGGTCCCAAGTGAAACTGTGACACTGAAAGGCATGTCCGTATGTCGTCTGGAGCAGATAAGAGACTCGACAGCATGGGCGTACGTGCATTCTCGTGGAAAGCAGCTGAAATAATTAATTATACACAAGCTTGGCTGAAGGCTCCTCCTGTTCGAAGATGGCTTATGGTACCATCGTTATGACGAGGATAAAATCGTCACAACTATTAGGTCGACAAGCTGCTGCCCAACCTCCTACTCCAAGTCGAAGACACTCTATTACCCGCTCGGCCGGGGGCAATGTCTAGCTTGGGAAATGCCTGAACAACATGCTAGGTGAAAACATAGGGGCCACATCGTTCCATTTGGAATGTGTGCAAGACTCTTTGGGGTTTTCCCTACTTCAAAGTAAGTTTGTCGCCATATGTATTCTGAAAAGTTACGGACATTAGGAACCAGAATGAAACGCCATGCTCCACACCTAACTCAACTGCTGCTTGCAATAGCGTTTCTGGCACCACTAGCACAACCCATGCCTCCACTTCACACGACAAGGCACAGCACTCCTGCTCTGACACTCACCGGAAGGCGCGCGCCAAAAGCAGGACAGACGTCAATCTTTGGCACGGTGCACCGTCTGCTGTGCATGCAGCTGCAATACTCCCAGGCACTTACCAGCGCTGAAGTTGCAATGAATCCCCACCAGTAGTGGAACTAGTCTAGAAACGTTAGAAGTGAACCTCCTTGAATCATGGGGAGCCCAAGTCCTACTGGTTAACGCGAGAGCTCAGTAGCCATGAAGCTACTGTAGATAGATCTAATCAAAACGGCTGGAACCATTTGCAGCCGTTCCTTTTAGGAACTGCCTTCAACACATTTATGTCTAAACCAGGAAACTGGAGACCGCCATTGATGGCACCCTGGCCTACTGTAGTGTAGACACTTGGGTACGCACGCACTTTAGTTACAATGGATGCGACACAGGGTGTCTGCGAGTGCGAGGCACAAGCTGCAGACTTACCTTCTGTTGTTCCGTAGGAAATAGCCATCCTGTGTGATCCACGTGACGACACGATGAGAGGAGAACACGCACACTGGCTGGGGAGAGATAGCGGCGCGAGTGGGAAGCCTCCAATTCAGGTGCCAGACGGGATGACACAAGGCAAGTAACTAGTCTGGCACTCAGGATTCTTTCCAATACTAACTAGTACTATGCTGGCCAAAAAGAACGACAAGGGGATGTCAAGCACGGAAAGCTCGTATACTATGTGACAGAACCGGATGTGTACAAAGTAAGGTTGTTGCCTGAACTGTTGGTTGCGTGGTCGACTCGACTTCAAGACGAATCTGTGATCATCTGCTCAACGAAAAGTTCTTTTATACGTATTGTCTAGCGTTAGTGTGAGTGGAACAGGGAGAGAGGGAGAGAGGGAGAGCGTGCAGCGATGGCGGCATACTATGATGGTGGCCGCATAGCAACCATCAGCGCCGAATGATTCGCGTGTGGCAGCCTGACGGTCTGGGCGTTTGACATCTGTCAAGTGCAATACAGCCTACAGACGCTTGAGTCCGCGAACGCACAACAAAAATGACTGAACGCCGGACGTAACACGCAAGGCTCGTGAACTTAGCAACATTCTGATCCGTAGGCGACTGGAGTAGTAGTGACACTCCAGATCCCCGGATTGGACCCCAACTAGTGCCTTGCCAGTGAACACCGGAGTAGTGACGGAGCGAGCCGTCATCGGTCCAGTCATGGGCTGGCCGGCAGTTGGGATTGGCAAGGAGTTATCACAAGACCCTGCTGTACACGTACACCTCTCTACACTGCACTGGGCTCGACTTTTGTCATGTCGCAGTACTCTCTTGTGGTGCACGTGTGTTTCTTGTAGAACTCCAGTGTAATAATGTCGTGGGGGCATGTCCACAGCCTAAGGTACTAGAGATATGAGTCGCTTGTTCCGAAAAGAAAAATACTGGCACGCCGAAGAAAACAGCCGCAGAAAAACCTGCAATGTTTGCCGGAAGATGAGCGCCATGTTTTCTTGCTGATCGCCTGTTCAAATAGCATGCTGCACGGTCAGGTTGTGTCTGCTGTGTCGTCCCCGTGTCCACACCCTAGGCCCTGCACATATATGCGGGCAACGACTTACGTGTGCCTGTAGTCAGTCCACCCGTTGCACCCGGCACCTGTCGAAAAAGACACGTTTAGTGAGTTTGTTCTGGGCCTGGGAGATAAACATGTCGTGGCCATGGACATCGTGGCACCGTACTCAGCATGCCCGGCCATCTCCTGAATATCGATATCCTATCTTCCTAGGAAATTTGCCGGGAGCAAACAGCGCTGAGATGACACTCGGTTATGAGAGTAAGCTTGGGGCTAGGTGGTGGCGAAATGAGCGTCCCCAGCGTACCGTGCATGATCATTCCGATGCTGCCTGCAGAACAGTGCGACTACAAATAGCATACAGACACTATCCACATCCACTACATACCAGCGTGCTGTTATCTGCCATCGTACTTCTTGCTATGATAATCACGTACATGTACGCACGCACGCACACACACTGCACTGTGCTATGAAA